CGACAGCCCACGACCGGTTTCGCACTTCCANGCTAATTTCGTGCAATTTGGTTTCAAGTAGAACATAAGGTTGACGGAAATCCGGGGACTGCGCCTACCTGATGAGCCCCAAGAAGGGCGAAACCGGTCGTGGGCTGTCGGTGGATTTTCAGCAACCTTATGAGTAGCACATTACAAAGATACCCCTAAGGAAACCTTTCAGGTGACGTCTGCTGATTCGTGGCACCCTATTTCTGTTCAGAATAACTGTCAAAAGTTTGTCGGCTATCAATGAACGCGCAGTCCTACCGATCCCCTAAAACGAAGACCGTTCGTTAGACGGCACTAATGCAACTCAAAGGCACAAAAATGAGATAGCCCTATTATATATATATATATATATATATAATTTACATCCACAGAGAGCTGAGAGTGACGAAACAGTACACTGACTGGCGTGGAATCGGGAATAGGTTCATCTTGGTTTGTGTAAATGGGTTGACGCATATAATCCTGATGAAACTACTCAATAGGTGAAGACACCGCTTTTTACAGTGGGAATCAACAACAAACAGAAGGAAGTTATTAGACTTGAGGGTTCTTTGCTGCTACATCTACCCCAGAACTGAATATTTCAGCATGTGGGCGACTTGATACACTCGGCAAAAACCAAACCATCACTCTGGTATATGAGTACCAGTTTAATCGGTTCATATATTGAATCATTCCCCCGATAAGAATGTTCAGTGCCCAAAGGCTGGGCGTACTTCATGCAGATACCAATCTAGGACAGTTGCATCAACAATAAACAAAACAAGTGTGTAAATTATTGAATGCTCTCTGGAAGGAAGTCAAAGCGCTGTAAGTTCTTTTGAAATAACAAACGTCATGGAACTTCTCAACTCAAACCCCACTGCCACTGCAGACTGAGGGTTGTTTATCGGTATCCCTCACTATCGAGTACGCAATGCTTCCGAACCAGGAATTATACTGTCTATTGTACTGTCTATTGAAAAGTTGGATATAATATCAGGTATTTTCTGGTTGAATAATATCTCCATAAATTCAAGGGGCGTTCAAGCGTTCACGAAGATGTGTTAGTTTTACCAGTAACTTGTCTGGCATACTTGGATAAACTGTGATGGCTACTATCAAGTTAAGCAGACGAGTAAAAACTGAGTAAAGTCAGATCACGTCGTTGATTTTTGTCTGGTGGTTTGAAAAAGCCCTTTCGACGTCGCTAGTACCAGTCGTCGACTCAGTGAACATTAGGATAACTTAGCTTAACGTGAATAGAGCCTGCCACGATTCAATACATTAGTAAATGCATTAATGTAATTGCAGTAAAGTGAATGAGTTAATGATTACAGTACAGTCCTTAAAATGCTGCGATTTTAAGCTTAACGAAAAACTGCTACTTCTGAACACTTTTAATTTTTGTCCCACTTTCTTTGAGTTAACTGAGCGCGTTGGATATCCATCCAAATATGTGTAGTCAAATACCAGTCTTCTAAACTGACTGAACCGGTTATGAAAATTCGATGAACTCACTGAGTACGCCAGCTGCATTTACTACGCATGTAAAGTGGATTGTCTTTACAGGAAACTCGAATGAATCTCTGGTTTGTAGTGTGGACATCGTTGGTTGAGTTTCATGCTAACAGCAAAGTCATTTTCTGAACAGTGTGTCTCGTCAGCATACGGATGGGTAGACATACTTCACTACCGTAGAGGATGGCGTCCCAAAACGCACTTCCATGGAAAGGCGTTGGTAGTCTAATATCCATATTTCACTGACTGATGAAGTGTAGAAACTTCACGAAGACAGGGTTGTTGGTATGGCAGCTAATCGAGCAGATTTGGACTGCAAGATTCGGTGCTTCTAGATAAAACCCGTCAGTTTCAACAATCTTGAGGTTGTACCGTTATCAAAACTACTTTCTTCTGCATGCAGTCCTACCCGAGTATCACTAGGATCATTCTTTATTGCGTCGTTTGTTTGTGTTAGGAGTTGTTGGCTTCTAAATCATCATCATCATCATCATCATCACCATCGACAACATGTTATCAGTGTTCAACACTGATGCTTCGTTGCAGTACACTCGTGATTTATTTGAAGACCTCATTTTGAAAGAATGAAAGTGGAGGGAGAGGGGATTTAGTGCTAACTTACTACAACCATTTGGAGGTGCCTACACCTCCGGACACTCATCCGATCAACCTGGATAGAAACCGATAACAAGAACATTAATGACTTATATTAGCAGTAATATCTTGCAGCTTCTCCAACCAGGCGCACTGAGGATCACGCGGTTCCCGTCCCGGAATGTGGGTAGCATCGGCAGCACCCAAACGTTTCGTAATCTCTTTCATATCACTCTGACGGGTCAAGGGTCGGCTACCTCTTTCCTTCGGCCACTCTGAACTGGACACAGAAAACAGCGGTCTCTTTGGCAAATGATGGTCCGATTTACGCAGTACATGTCCTAACCAACGAAGCTTCTGGTCCCGGACACATTCTTCAGTGGAATTCCCGATTGCACAACCAAACATTCAGTTTCTAATTGCTTCGTTACGGATTCGCTGAAACCAACCCACACTAACTGTCTTTCTGAGACAACGATTGTCGAACACCTGAAGACGTCTCAGGTCCGCTGCTCGAATAGGCCAAGTCTCACAGCCAAGCATACAAGACATCACTGTACCAAGTTCAAGAGGTGCTGATATATCGTGATTAGATTTACAAATGTTGGATAAATTTGCCCGTGATTTANCACTTAACAGTCCACCTACAGTGCTGTATTTATGCACTAATTTATCAGCTCCCGCCTCCAATGTGCAGCTGCCTACCCCACTTCTCCGAATCATCGGTGAACGAAATTGTGACAGCTACAACCACTGTACGACAAGTACGCGGTTATTACAGCCAACAATGATGGTGATAATGATGATCGAACACCTGAGGATGTCTCATTTCTGCTGCTCCAACAGCCTAAGTCTCACAGTCAACTTGCTAGCAAAGCTAAATGTCTAACTGGATTGACATTGCAACCCCCTTGACCCTGAATTCCATTTGAGCAGTAGATCAAGTCGCGGTCAGTGATTACCACTTTCACGACTGAGATTTTCGTTAACTGAAATCGAACCGATTGGTGACCATCGTTGAAACAATCAGATGTAAGCACGATTACTTTCGCAGACACTTTTCCTACTTATGTAGAAGTGTGCTTCCGCGTTTGAGGAAGACACTGGGTAGACCGTACGGGTGATAATAAAGGGAGTGCTCAGAGTGACAGATCTGTTTGAATGAGTTGGACAGTTTGATCTATGGAAGCAGGTAAGGAATCTGTCTAAACCTGAAAAACTGGACAATATGCACGTTGAATTTATCTGTTTATTCATTCATTCAGTCATTGTCAGCTGTAATAACCGCGTACTTGTCGTACAGTGGTTGTAGCTGCCACAATTTCGTTCACTGATGATTCGGGGAGGTAGGGGAGGTAACTGCGCATTGGAGGCGGGAGCTGATAAATTAGTGCGTAACTACAGCAGTGTAGGCGGACTGTTAAGTGGGGGGTGGAAAAGGGAGCTATGCATTGAAGGCAATAGCTTGGATTCATGAGCGCCATTGAGGGCGCGACTGGGCCATGTCTGATAATGTCTCTAACCATTGATATGGCCCATCTCGATCACCAGTTGATGACTTGTTCGTTATATTAAACACTGGAGACCTTTTGAACTGATTTAATGTGGAGGTTCCGATAAGATCGCCCAGAATATCATCATCCGTCTCTGTGTTGGCTTTCATACGGCATCTCTTTTCCAGACGGCAAAATCAACCATTCGATGCTTTGAAGCGTGGCACTTCCGATATGGTTGCAGAGTTCATGGCCTTCTGGCGTATTGTGCTCTATCTATTTCCACCCATTGTACTAGAGAATTGATTGCTGTACCGTTTATAGATTCAAACTTTTTCGTCGCCCAAAAATGGCATCTCTACTTGCGGAGGATAAATATCGCAAGTTGCCCTGTTATCTCCTTTCGTTTAATAGCACTTTGAAACGCTTTGTATACAACTCCAAAGGAACTTCTTATTGTATTCTGTGGTACAACAAGATTTCACACCCTTGCAAAGTGAGTAAATTTTTACTTTTCATACTCAGACAATGAGAACTAATGCATATAGCCAAATTGAGCGTTAGGTGAAGACCGATCGAGTGCAAGTCCCTGTAACCAATGGATTCGTTTTCCTAAGTGTACCATCCAGTTACAGCGAGCCATGCCACCACTAATCAGAAACAAGACTTTCCAGCACCTAAGCCAATAGAGATTCGGCCGAGATTCAGCCTAGCCTTCAGTAAAGACCAACTTAATTTGCAAACGAATGCACTTTGTCAACTGCGTACAATTTGGTGTGCAAATAAAACATAAGGTTGATAATAGAAGAGTTTTCAGAAACCCTCTATCAAGACATCTGCTTAGTTTTGCACCTTTCAGGACAGACGAATCTACTGGCAACTACTTATCTGGGACTCTGTTATTCAGATATCGTGTAGAGGCAGTTTACGCTCAGTTGTAACACTCCTAAGGATGTAAGTTGCAACAGAGTCACACACTTAATGAAAGCTTTAGGTATAACATTTCCAACATTGGACAGTACCAAAATTCCTTACTATGGCCGTTCCATTCGCTTGTTTCTTTTTTAAAATTCTCGGTACACCTGGCCCAAGAGCGATTGCATGCTGTTGAGTGAGAGAGTGCGTTTGAATACAACCAGGCTGAAGGGTAAATGGAAATCCAGTTCACCTTAACGTGGATTTCTGAGCACAGCAAACTGGTCTTCTACTCGACGAGTGTTTGGAGACAGATCTTGTTACATACTCGGCCGAATTCATCACATTCTAGTTAAAGGATATTGTGGCTTTCTAGTCTGAATCTGTTTAAGTTTTTAGGTTTTGAGCATTCATTTCAGAAGAACAGCTATCCGTTTTCCTTGTCATCAACTTTTTACTAAATTCCAGGTTATCGACCTAATTCCGTTGCTAGAAACATTGGCACACAGTATGGATACGCAGAAGTGGGTATTATAACCATATCGTATAAAAATATTTGCTAAATCAGCAGCAAGTCATAACTTCAGATTTACCTCCGGAACTGCGTTACATCGACGCTTTGGTTAAAACTCACATTGAAAATGAACTAAAAACGGTAAGTTATGATGATCGCGAAATTTCTACTTTAATCCGACAATTGTTTATATTCTTGCTGGTCAGTGAATGAAATCTACACATTGTGAGTAGTTTCAGAATTTCTTGAGGTTGCACATGTGCTTAAGCAGTCCTGCCTCTTGAAAAAAGACCTGTCTGCATTAGAACTTAGTATTCGAAGCAAGCGCGCTTGATGGCTACACTAACGGTCTTGAATTATCCACAGTGGGCTAGCTAACTTGTTTGAACATGGTTCTTTGACCTCCTCCATAAGAACCGTCCCGGCTTTTTGGGTCAACGAGCTGAGCTGGGCCATCTATTTAAACCAGCACTCCTGATCCGTGCTTACTGTCTGATTACAGCCGACTGAAGTGCCAAATAGGAAGACGGCTGTTCAGACGAGTGCAGTGGATCCCACGACAGTGAAACGATTTATTTAAACCAGATTCCGCTCTCCTAACTCTTAAATCACGGAAATGATATGAATGTAGAAGACAGCTATGTCTGTCCTCACCAGGTCATAAAGCACTCATACTAAGGACCAAGTAGATAAGCCACCTGAAAAAAGTTACGGCGGCAACCATTATCATGAAAGCGCAGATTAAGTATCAGCCCAGTTTTGCCCTGGCTAGCCAAGTGAAACCTTAGTACATTGAAAAACCTTGTAGTTGTTAATTCTTTCTTATGGCTAATGTAATCCTATAGGCGATTTCGTGTGCAAGGAATACCTGCTTAAACAGTTTAGTCACGTCAAGGGTCATTGTGTGTTCCTCGAGGCTCAAGTCCGAGTTACGGCCAGTCACTTAACCTCAGAAAGCTTTCTGCATCTAGCGAACAGTCTACCAACTGGTAAGCGAAACAGGGGACGATAGCGTGGAGCTGAACACTTATTAGCCAACTGAGATAATGTTGAGGGGCTTGAGAACTGAATCGCTTAACTAAGATAACCTGATGAACCCCAGAACGGGTAAAACAGGTAGAAGTCAGTTCAAGATTTTCCATAAATTCTGTGAGTAATCTCAGACTGATGTAGTAACACAAATTGTGAAGCTGTACAAAATTTCAAAACAGTATCAGAATATCCACCACGTAACTGATCAGTATCACCAGATAAAATGCCTTCATATGACCTGTTACATGCATCAAAATGCATGTTAACAAAACAGCCAACTAGTATGTTTCTAACAGAGTCATAACTTTCAGAGAAGTGTATAGGGAAAAGGCAAGAGAGTAAGAGGTTCAACTCTGAAACAGCGGAGGTCAAACAATCAAGGGCCACGCAGACAACACTATTGGGATCGATAGGGCACATAGTCATCAGAATATTTTTATATATGCGTACACGAGGAATGGAGAAAACACTGCACTTTTAAGTGAGTCTATATTTGTTGTCAGGCAGTAGATTTGTGGTAACAGAAAGGCAAAGTTGTATCCGGTCATCCGAATGATCACCCAGATCAGGCACCATGGCTTTTGCCACGTCAGAAAGAATTTGTAACACAGTTTTCTAGTCGAGACATTCCAACGTTCTAGATTGTCCCTCCTTTCCTGTCAAGTGCTGAGCAATGTACTGTAAAGTGAGAATCACATCATTGTTTGCATGCCTACTGGAATTCGTCCAGACTGTCCATACTTGTGGTTAGCTCCTCAGACACAACCTTGTTGAAAACTTGAGAAGGAAAAAACAGGTCATCTGTACGTGTGTACTTGCGTTATGGAGAATGACCTCGAAAATGAGATAGCTTTTTGAACACAAGTGGCGAAATTCGGCCGATGGGTTCATAAACTCCACCTTACATTCCTTTGGATTGATGAAAACCCGAGAACCGAGATAACATGTCTTATTGGGTCTCAATATTTACAGTGTTTTACAAATCTCATTAGAATGAACCAAAGCCAGTCAAAAGTTGATAGAGGTTTGAAAAAGAGTTATCTTCAACCAAATGGCAGACTCATTGTTAGGTCCATCCGATTCAGGGTCATCCGCATATCAAATACAAAATAGTTACTCCAACGCTCCAACTCCCGGCGTTTCTAGCAAAGTTTTGACGACTGAAATAGTTGATCTTTTTTATCCGGCACAGAATACGGTTCAGCTCTTCACTTTGATGAGTAATGTGTGCTCTTTTCATTACACTCTGAAGCAGAACAGAAAAAATCCCCCTTCAAGAACACAGACCACTTCTGTCGGCAGGCAGGTGTTGAAATGAAATGTATTCGGAATGTCGCGGAAAACCGTCTGGGTTATTTCGAATACCGTTCGAAGTGATGTATGAGAGTCGAAGACTACGATAAATGAGGGATTAGGCTGCGATTGACTTGAGCCACCCAGCAAATCCAAACGAGTGAACAGAAATAGCACTTTTTAAAACAAAATCTCCGCGGTTATTTCAAATTAAAAGAGCTTTGCCCGTTGTCTATAAATCGTATGTTCAACTGCACCTAAATTTACCTACAACAAGGTTACGTAATTCTCTTGATCGGCAGAACAGGTTTGGCTGATAGGTGATTTTCCCAGTGGCGAGGAAGCGTTATGCAATGAAATGGAATGGGTAGTTCGTGATATTCAGCCGTCTGAGAGTGACCTACACATTCGCATGTTGCGTTTTTCGTTGCCCGGGGCATTTCCTGACTCAGCGCTCAAACTGATTCTCTCTCAAAATCTAAAACCCAGTAAGTGTGTTTGATGTTCAAGAGAATGAAAACATTTTATTCTTGTGGATTTTGTGGAAGCGTGTGACCTTGAATACGGTTTAGTGAAACTAGCTTGGAAGTGTAAAAGGAGAGTTCACGGAGCCAATTGCTCACAATAATTTCGGTAAAATCACCAAAAGTATGGCCAAGTTCAGGGGACGGGCCACCCGAATTCAACCTTACTCCCAGCGTGGGACGAAATTCACCTAATCGTCTTTCATCGCTGAACTGTACAACTTATGAAGCATTAAACAGGTAGAAGATGATATTTCTTCCTTATTCTGGTAAAATCCCGTGCAGTCCTCTGTAACTCAGCCATCACTTAGCTGCGATGGCCAAGTGATCTGCTGCGTATTTCGAGTTATCTCCTACCGTCATTCAGAATGATGAACAGTGCGTGACGCGTGGATGAGTCAACTAAAGGAAACGACCAAGAGTCTGGGCGCTGCCAGTACAGTTCTTTTATCAGGACAGGATACATGTTCCCCTTTATGCTTGACTGAAGAAGTTGCAAGATATGGTCACTAACATATGCCGATCGACATTATACTGCCATTTTCTATCCAAAAGGCCAATGTATACATTCGAAAGTGTAGGCGTCCTGATATTTGTAGCAGGTTAACCTTACGCCCAACTCCCGTCCCCTTTTTCCTGTTCATAACACGGTACCTGATGCGACGAACGAAATACGCTGCTTCGGTATATCACATTCACCACAGTCATCAAAGTGACGAGATCTTAAATGCTTCTGTCACCAACACTAAGAGTTTAGAGGTGGGTTTGAGCAAGCTGGATGTCACAGTAACTTATCCCGGTAGCTTATAGTTTATTCAAGGGGACTTTAAAGCGCTTCGCCCTGTGTCTACATTCGAACCCAACTATACAGCCACTTCCGATTCTTGTCACTTATGGGCTGGCCCAAGCAGGTTTTGTCTTGCTGTCTCGTCAAATCGCCTTCCACTGTCCATCAGTCGTCAGTCAAATCTGATTTGACTGGTCACACCGACCACATGTGTCATTGATTTTTACCGTACAACATCCATTGCTGATGTTTTGTGCTTAAAGCTATCACAATTGGCCGCTCCAACCTCGCCACTCATTTCGTAGCTCCGACCATCGGCAGTAACCAATATGTTGTGGTGTTCTAACTGAAACCCAGTTTAGGTAGTGGTCTTCTAACGGGTCAGAAGCCTCCAGAAAACGGGTGAGATGATAGACATGCAGGCAGATGAGGCTAAATCGTGGATATTTTTATGCAGCTGAGGAATCTGGACGAGACAGCTCAAGATTGTAATTAGTTGGGTCCGTTGAGCAAGCACGTAAAACTGATAAAATAAGTATGCCCGCAAGCCAATTCACTCTGCCGGAAGCCTAGTTAATTGGGGCACTTTGATGGTCATGAATCCAGCAATGCTGATGATATCTTTCCAGTCAAAAACTCGACGAAAAGCTTTTGCTCGCAGGCAAAACGAATTCACGCCTCACTGATGAGCACAGAAAGAATTATGGCCAATATAGAGTTCTATTTCATTTAAAAATTTCTTTGCACGAACATGTTTCCGAAAACTGATTTGCTTCTTAGCTATGGGGCACGCGAACCACTGCAAAACTGATATCTTTCAATCTCAAGAAGAGGTAAGAAACTTCGGGATTCAACCGGCAAAACCCATTAGTAACAGCGACAAGTCGCTTGTTTACACAATGCGCTAGAAATTTTAGAAAGGTCGAGTTCGCCGGAGAGTTTGAAATCACTAAAAAATTTTGGGGAACTGGCAAACGCGAAGTTCACTACTTTTTCAGTGGAGCGTCCAGAGCAGTGAACGTGTTATGACTTGCTGAACGGTAGTGCAACTCTGTATCAGTCCCTTGGCTTCCTGCTCCGCCCACTATGACATATCAAAAGGCACGGTAGCTCTACACAGCTCTTTATGAAAACAAAAAAATCATTACAACTGTATTTATAGGGTAGTCACAAAGTGTTCCACAAGGTCATGCTAGAAGCACCGTGAGGGGCGAGAAGCGTCCAGTCAAGGATGCTCGGTCCGGATTGGCTGGCATTCTGACCACTCAGAGCATGCCTTCGTTTGGCCCGTGTCCTGCACGTGACACATCCGTCCAAATGATGTAATGTTCGGTTATTAGGGATGGCTGGCATCCGAACACCTCCCCCTTGAGAAGGCTGTTCAACCGACTGCTGCTTTGGACTCCACTGTGACGACTCATGGAGGTTCTGTTGCATGTCGGTCCGTCCCTAAAGCTGCCAACATGCTGATCTGGAATCAGGTACCCTCCACTTGGGAGGTAAGTCATGGCTGTCCGGTTTCCAATGCGACGTGGTCCCTTCACCGAACCGCAGTCTGCTACCTGAAGTTGGTTTCACTCGACGCGGCTGTGCTGATGATCTTACGTGTGCCTCGTGTTTGACATAATCGGCCCTGTGTCCACCGTGGAGAGCAGTGCCCATATCTTTGAATCAGTGGCTGGTCTCTGTGTGACTGTTATGGCGTTCCTCCTGCCGTCCCCCCTTCCTTAACTTTCCGGATAGCAGTAGAACGATCCGCTTGAACGTGCGACTGTAAACTGAAGGGTTCAGACCGCGAGTGAAACTTTGCGGGCTGCTGGCAGGGTTCACCGGTGCGTCAACTCTGGATCCTGTTCAATTCGATTCAGTAGCCGGGTCCGAATATCTGCATCGTGTGGCGATTGAAGACCAGCCACAAAGATGAGACACTTGAATTGATCCTCGGTCATGGAGCTGAGCTGAAAGAGCTCGCATTCTCTGTTGACCACACCAA